TATACGTGTGTGTGTGTGTTTACATATACTATTTATTTTATATTAAAAAATATATATATACATTTTTTAAATAAAATATATAATAAAATATTCATACGAATATTAATACTAATATCAATACTATTTTACAAAACTCTATACTATATCAAAGTTGAATCTCTTGTCACTCACATGCAGTATTTTGATATCAGAATTCTGTTTCTTTCAGGGTCAAAGCTGATGTTGGATTTAACTGACAGAGACACGTACGTAGCTGCGGTTTGATTTGTTTATTTGCGTGTTAATGGTGTAAACTGGCATTTCATTTGCCTTCATTTCCTTTTTTTCAGAGGCGATACCGCATTGCACAAAGCAGCTTCTCAGCAGCATGTGGAGGTGTGCAGACGTCTGCTGGAGGCCGGGGCTTCCCTCAGCAAAACTAACTTCCTAGTGAGAATCTGTTTGTGTTTCCTCTTTGTTTTGACACGTGGTGTGAGACTCGGCAGTCAGCTTGATGTCACATTGTCCTCCTCAGGGAAAAACCCCCAAGGATTGCGCCCTGGACGCCGGGAACTCGGAGTTAGCGTCTCTCATGGAGAGCCAGCCGGTGGAGGAGCCGGAGGCGCACGAGGACCTGGAGACAGCTGTATGAACGGGCTCAGCGATTAGAGTCGGGAAGATTTTTACCCACAGAAAGCGGCTGTCGGCACTCCTCCGAGTGTCCGCTCACACTCGCAGAGAAAGAACGAGAGAGCGTGAGAGAAGACAGACGGAGAGAGAGGTGTATCGAGAGTGCCTCGGGCTGAGAGAGTCCTCGGGATCGCGTCTAGCTGTTGTTTTTCCACTGATGTCGCTGTGGGGTTTTAGCATTTATTTATTGCTCTTATTTATTATAACTATTTATTCAAAGATGGATTGGGTTTTGTTGCATCGCAGGTTAGTTTTAGAGACAAAAGATGTTTAAACATGCCAGAGATGGAAGCTGTCATGCATCAATGTTGTGTGCCAAAGACACACAGAGAGGAAGAACATCAACTGAAGAGAGTTCGATTAAAGGAGGATCTTCTTCCAGAGAGTTTTTACGATTGGACAGAATCATCGCGGAGATTTTAAACTCAAACTACAGACTTTTCTCGTTTTGTTTGTGTGCCGTTACAGTGGAGTGGTTGTGAAATTATCTTACGACGACGAGAAAAGATCTGAGCCATATTCAATGCAATATGAATGGATGACATTTGTGCATTTATCTATTTAATATTACATTACATTAATGTTTCAAGACAAGCAAAGGAACTGGATGTGGTTTTTTTTTTCCATTGGTGGCAGCTGATTGGTTTCTGAAATGCCAAGTTGGTTGCATTTGACCGAAGAATGACTAAACCAAATGAATGCCGGTGAGAGTTAAGTGTGGTATTTCGAACATATGCTTAGTCCATGTCACATCACTCATGCCGGGAAATGCCCAGCAATGTGTCTGCATGAAAAGCGGATCACGCTGAGCCTTTGTGAGATCTATTTACATACGAGTGATCTGCTGTGTTATCTTGTATCATTTTAAAGCATTATTGTGCATGGATATTTTATTACCTCTCTGGATGTTTCTACCCCTCAGTGATTATGTAATGAAATGGCATTATTTCTTCTTTTTTTTAAATGTAAGTTATATGAAAAATATGAAATTGTTTGGTGGTTGTATATATATATTTTTTTAATCTTTTAAAAGACGGGACTACTTGAATGTTTTAGTTTTTTCTAATTTCTAAATATCTGTTTTAGGTGTGCATGAGGTCAGTGAGTGAGTAGACCTGAGGGATATGTGGAGATGTGACAAATATCACCTGGCACCATCTCTAAACTGGGAATGTTTCTCAATAAAGGGCAGTCGGATGGAAAGCACCAGTGTTGTGTGTTTTCTGGAGAGTCATAGATCACCCTAAAATTATAGTTTTGCCATTCTTGACTCATAGAATGGACGTTTACTTTCTTTTTCCCTTTAAATGCAGTAATACAGCATGCAAACATAAAATGAGCATTTGCACCTCTTTTACGGTTTACATTCTTATTTACACTTTTAAGGGATTGTTTAGTGTGCGTTTTAAAGTAATTTTTCACCCAAAAATTAAAGTTTGGTGATTTACTGACCCTCATGTTTTTCCAAAGTGAAACACGTGAGGAGCACAAAAATAAAACGTTTAGCATAACAATGTTCATAATTCCCCATTCCATGCAATAAAAGCATAAGAATGTATTTAAAAGTAGTGACCTTTGCACTAACAGTACCTAACAGAAACAGCTCGTATACATCATGTCACTTTGCCATTTCGGTGGTTTGAGCAGTTAATTTCAGATGAAAATAAATGAATCAATGCGACGATTCTTACGAATCGGATTTCTGTTGAATCACTTGATTCTGAGTCACCGCGTGTAATGATGACATTTTGATGACGTGTCAGTTTGGCTCCGCCCCCTGCGCATAAATACTGTACTGAACCTTCGTTCTGCTCCGTGATAACATCAGACATTGAACACGGAGTCATGTAAGTGGGTCAACTTTCCTTATATTTATTAACCAAGAGAAAATGTTAATAGTCACCGTCTCAGTCTCTTGTATTTTGTTTCTTCAAGCTAATCAGGAAAATTTGGTTCACACTTCCGTGACTTCGGATAGACGTGTTTATATGTAGAAAAATATGTCGAGAATTTCCAAAACATCAAGTCATGCGCGTGAGTTGTGTCTAAACTTATGGAGATGTCTGAGACTGAAGAAAAAATGAAACAAACGTCTCGAGTTTCTAGTTTGCGTTGGTGAACATGCCCAGACACATTCACTCATCATTAACATCAGCCGCGACTTCATATACATTCAACTAATCTGTCACTTTCGTCAATAAACGTCCGGATTAAACCACTTCCTTGTCAAATTACGTCAGACTTATTCTGTGAAAATAAATGTAAATTCAAAGAATATTCAGGGTTAAATACGCTTAAACTAGAGACTTATATTGCTAGTGCATTAATGCATAAAATACTATCCGTAGGCTAGTTCAAATAAGCTTGACAAATTTAGAGTAATTTAAATATATAATATTATAAAATATATAATATAAGAAGAGGAATTTTAAAAGTTTGCAATGATGTATCCCTTATGCAAAACCACGGTTAATTTTTATTTTTTGATTGGTTTTATTTGTAGTAAAATAGTTAATTTTCATAAGGGATATTCACGTTTTAATAATGTTCATGCTGCACATTTCATGCCATAAAAGCATATAAAATGTAGTCCATGACTACTTCACTGTATATCTAGTGTACAAAATCTAATAATGTTTCTAAAATTGTTAAAATGAATCGGAGTACTTCTTATTAGTTAAATTAAATTTAAAGTAAACCAGAACATAGTTAAATAAAAAGCTTAACAAATCTAGGGCAGTTTAAATTAAACTTATTTATTGTTAAACATATATTTTTTTACACACACACACACACACACACACACACACACACATATATATATATATATATATATATATAATTTTCTAACATTCTTAAGCTGTTAAAACAAATAATAAAATATAATATAAATAAACTTTACAAATATGTATTGTGGTTTGATGAAGTGTATTTCATATCTGAGCAGGGATCAGCAGCACAGTAACGGTGATGTCCGGACGTCTGCGGCAGACAGTCTGGAGTTCAAACTCCTCATGGCATACACGCGTAAGAGACGACCCGCCGACACCCTCCTGCAGCAGGACGTCCCGTCTTCACCACAGCCGGCTGACGATCACAGCAAACCAAATAAAAATAAAAGAAACAAGAGACTGTCTTTCCTCTTAAAGTGTATTAAACCACAGACAGATGAACCAGCACATGTACAGCAGCCAGCGACCCTAGCGGGTGAGTATGAAATATTATATTGATCTGAATGTGTGGCTGCTTTAAAGGATTTTTTTAAAACAGTCCCTATTGTGGAGATTCCAGCATCTGATTTGCTTCCTTCAGGTTCAGATGATGGGAAAGTGGATGAGATGGAGAACATGGTCAGTGAACTGACAGAGATATCAGACTCTGTGCACTTCACTCCATCTGATATAGAACCAGACTCTGATGGTGAGTTTGAGCTCAGTCTTCTCTTTTGAGTTCTGAAGTTTTAGTTGCTTCATTGAGAGAAGAGTGCAAACTGAACTTCACATTTCTGTTCCCTCAGCAGATGTTGTGGAAAAGCTGGTTGAGCTCCTCAGAGAACATGGCGATAAACTGGACAAAAAGGTCAGTGAAATCAAATGAGCACTCATGATGCCATTTAAGATGAGATGTAAATCCTGCCCACCAGGTGTCTCTGCAAACATAGTTACCTGCACTGTAATATTGTCCATCGTGCTTATTTTACTATATGCTCTTCATTCCCTTTTTTGATAAGAATAACCAGCTGAATCCAAAAGTCTGAGACCACATTAAGAGAAAAAAATGTAAATGAAATTTGTAATGAACTGCACAATAGAACTCTTTTTTTTAGTATTCGTAATAGACTTTACATTTGAATATGCATTGTATTTTATTCACTTTATACATTCGAACACTCATTATGTATAATTATTTGAACATTAATTTGATATAAAGTATATATGTGTGTGTGTATGTATGTGTGTATATATATGAAATGCTGTGTTGGTTTTACGCCAGATGTAACGGGACACACACCTTCCAAAAAGTTCAACTTTTGTCTCATCAG